AATCTGAAACTTAAGAAAATGTTCCATCGATGCCATTTTAAGATAACAATCAACGACAAAAATCAGTTACATAGAAACACCATCAAATTTTAATGACCACAACTCAATTTCTGTACCCAAGCACCAGGAAGCGTAGGTGGAAAGCAGGTGGGCCTTACCATCGCAGGTAGGAATGAGGACCTTGAGTCACTGCTGGTGACAGTCGCTAGCATATCCAGAATCCGAGCTGAGTTTCTTCTAAATATATTAATTGGCCAAATATTCAAACACAGCACCGTGCAAGGAAACATGGCCAGAAACTCGGCTCTCCTGTAACCTCCCCTTGAATTCCTGATTTCATCCAGATTCACTGTGCACACACTTTGTCCTGGACCCAGCATTTATTTTTTATACCCGCTAAAAAGCAGTGAGATATTTTAGGGGACTGTTTGCCTGAGCTAAACTATAACAATCTCTTCAGGTCCTTGCATACATTCAGATCGGAAGGTTTTGCTTAATGTCTCATTTCCAAGGCTAAATGGAACTGGATTTTCAGGATCGATTTTGTGGTCAATTGAATTAGCATTTTTGAAACTCTTCTATATCTATTTATTCAAGTGACTCTTAGGTAAGCAAAAAGCAGAAACATTGCAGAAATAATGGATTCAGTGGTTAAAAATAACTCATAAATGTGCACTAATATTTGACTCAAGTTATGCTAGGTGTTTTCCTAATAATTGTTCCTTCCTCTAAATTTTGAAACTTATTGCAAAGAACAGATTTATAAGCATGCAATGCTTTTACAACATAATTTAATTGTTGAGGTGCATTATGATCAATGTAATTATGAAAACAAGATGCTAAAACTCATTTATTTTACCATCTAGCCTCAAACTGTGTGTGTACTTCTACAAGTGTATACTCAATACATACAAGCTCCCTTTATCTAAGGACTTGATGTCAAATGTAATACAATTAATATAAAAACCTTGTAGTGAGTTGCTTTTTCTTGCCTTCAAAATAGTGAATCATATAAGTTTCTGTTTATAAAAATAGAAGCTATTAACAAAATTTAATTAATGTAATGGAAATGCAAGACTGCATGGTTTAAGTGTAGACTGTATTCCTCAACATTCTCAGTAATTAGGTAGCTACTAACATATTTGTTTATAACACTTGGCTCCATGTACTTCAGATAACCAGATGACCAATAGTTGAGGCTGAGTAGTATCAACTCCTGCTTTATGAGCCGACTCTCAGAAATCAGTATCCTCCGAATGTTAGCTTCTTAGTCTCTGACAGCTTTCCATCTGTCCAAGCTCAGAAAAATGCTGGAAGTGCTCTTGAGTTATTGAGAGGATAGGAGGCTTTCATGTTAAGTCAGGATCACTAGACTCTAATTCTCTGAAGTGTACAACAGTGTATATATAGTATATATACTATATATATATATATGTACACACATACATATATATATATACAATGCATATATGTATACATATATACATGTAGAGAGCACACACCATATGCATATACCACACACACACACACACACATATATATATATATATATATATGTATATGTAATATAGATCACTGATGACAAGTAGAATCACATGCTCTAGAACTCACCTGCTCTCCTCTTGATGTCTGAGAGACCAGCGAGCCTGTTGCTGTCTTTAAGTCCCATTTTGTTTGGGATCCCAGGAGGGTCACCTCATCCACAGGTCTCCTCTCCCACTCAGTCATCAGTATGTGTAGGAGAGAACCATTTCTATAATTATTTCCCATGCTGACATCCTTAATTCTTATTAATGACTGAATTGTTTAAATGAGACCCCAACCTTTGAAGACCTCAGAACAGGACCGTTCTTGACTAATGGTTTCAATTAATTATCCCAACTCTCTCATTGAATATTCTTTCTCAATTTCGGATACTAATTACATGGTTTCTTTTTGCCCTTAGTGCATAATTCCTAAAACAGAAATTATCTGTTTTCACCATATAACAATAAATATAATCAACCTTATTATATAATTTTCATCATTTTCCATAACAGACATTTTTTACAGTGTTTTACAGTTTGCACAGCACTTTTACTTAATCATCTCACAAGCCTCTGAAACAGACAGGGTAGTAATTAACGTGATTGTAATCATGAAGATATAAAGGTTCAGAGAACTGGAGTGGCATCAGGCCACGACAAAAATGTGCTGGGATTGGCTTCTGGCCTGCCTTATCACTAGGCTAGAGGTTTCAACAATGACACTCTGCAGACCAACAGCCAGTGACTTTCCATAATACATAACCGCACTCCACAATCTTCATTAACGATGAGATTACAACTATGCTGTAAACATAAAGCTGGAGCAGTTGTCCAGACGGTTCAGCTTCACACTCATCCCTCAATACCGAAACCCTTCTCCTATTTTTCATTAAATTAGCTTCTTAAAGCAAGTAATATCGTTTCCTTCAGTCAGTATCCAATTTCCCAGTCTTAATCCAAAATGCATTTTTAACAAATGACAAAAAAAATTGACATTAACAGTAGACTTTTTAAAAAGATTGCAATGTTCTTTCCAATACTCGCTCGCTCTCTCTTTGACACACACACACACGCACACACACACACACACACGAACATGTCCTATTCATTTAAACTCTGAGCTAGTAGTAGTTAGCAAAAAAAGAAAAGTGACAGTGTCAGAATGTCGCCCACATTGGTTGACTTCTTTTTGCTTGAAAAATTACCACTGGAGTATATTTTGTTGCCAAATCACAACTTCAAAGAACTCTCCTTTGGTTTGGGCATATCCCATCCTTTGAAACAATTTCAATTACACTCAAAATATAAAACTGCTTTCTTGATCTTTTGCTTACCACGATCATCTAGTCAGCTAATGTTGTATTAAGTTATCTTACCAGACTTTCATATATCATTGTATATATACAAATGTACAATATTCATAATTAAAAAACGATCACACATTTAATTGCAAATCAAACAGATTTACAGAGTATAAATTCCATAATCTATCAGTTTCCTGCAACTCCCTGTCCAGAAATTTCTAAATTCAATCTTTCTTTGATCAACTTTAAATAAACCTTTAGTGATTTTAAAACAGTAAGTTTGTAGGTCAACAGATATCAAATTAAAATTGGAAATTGGAAGATTAATATTTACAGCTAGCGCTTAAAAAGTCAACTGGATGTTTGTTTTTTTTTTTTCCCTTTTGCAACATACTGAACTTTTTAAAGCTTCCTCAGATTCTATATGAATATAAATGCCATCTATTTGCATGGAAGTTCCTTAGAGCAGGTGGGGCTGAATAGCAGATGGATCACTCACACCATGTACATGATATTATGGAAGTCTATTCGCCATGCAGTGCAGTACAATCAATGTAATTGTGCTTGAAGTTAAAATAATTTAAAACATTCTTAGGGTACAGTCAAAAGGTAGCTCTCACTATCTAAACATTGTAGCTCTTTACGTATGTGTAACCACGACCCCAGTGAGTGTTAGCTAAGATTCATGTCAAAGGAAAATGTTTACAGGATTCATCTGTGGTAATTGCTTAAAGATTTATTCATCACCTCCATATAGCTAATCTTTTGTCTGCTTCCTGATTTGGGGCTCCAGGGGCCCTTACACTATCATATCTATATTAATACAGCCATTCACAAACTGATTTGTGAATCTAGACTGATCATTTAAATTTGGTAAGATATGATTTATGCTGACTTCAGATGGTCCAGTGGTATTTCAGAAAAGAGATTTGGGCCTATTCCCTGGGCATGAACAGTAACAGGAAATATTCAACATACTCATCACTTTGTGAACCCTGTATTTCTGATGGTGCCCTCGTGTGGATAAATGAAAATTATTTAAATGTATTGACTTCCTGAACTATTGTCTGGACTTGAAATCGTGATCACCTTTTCCCTATAATTAAATAGATCCTTTCCCCTTCCACAGCAGCTGTCAATATTAGACAGGACAGTACTGTACCTGTGTCTAGATTTAATAGTGTCCCTTTGTCATTTTTTAATGTTCTATATAATCCTATCTGCAATCATGAGATTTCCTTTTAGGAAGTAATTTAAGCAGTAGGATATCATGAGCTTTCAATAACTGGTTTCCAGGGTAGGGTGGTGGGGAGGTAGTGTTAACTATTTTCCGTGGTGGTCCTGGCTGGTTTTAGTATACCCCTGAATTTTAGTGATGAGACAACAGGTTTTGTTTTGCTCCAGTGTTAAAGACTTCAACTAGCCTTACTGATCTTATCAAGTGTTCCAATTCTCTGGTATAAAATATAATCTCTATTAAGTATTATGCCTAATAATTGTATATAGCCTTAGATTTTGGAAGAAAATGTATTTCATATAAGTTATATTGGGGCATTACTGAACCTACTTCAAGCATTTTTAGCTATCACTGATTCAATTTGAATGTTTTATGTGAGTTAGACATAAAACAGCAATTGGACATACTCAAGAATTTCAATTCTTTTGAGCCATTCTTCCTGTTCTGCTCTTCTGTCTCTAGCGAATCCTCTGCACCTCTGGCCTGTACCCAAGTTCTGTATGCATAAATAAATAAATCTTAAAAAAGAAAACATACTGTAAAAAAGAGAGACATCAAGGTGAATGATGTAATGTTCCTTTTTTAAAATACATGCAAACTTCCATTTAGTAATATGTGCCTCAACCAGCAGTTTTGACATAATCCTAACGTACTAGTTTATCTTCTTGCAGACAGGAGCATTATTACAAAACTGTTTTCTCTGCACCTTGTTGATTTAACACCTATATAATTCCTGTACCACACTTGGCTTTATTGAAAAGTGTACTATATTTTTTATTTGTAAAACTTACATGTTACTATAAACCATGAAGAGCATCTCCTACTGTTATAAAATTAGTTTCTCATTTCTATATTAATACAGCAAGGAGCATCTTTATGAAGTCATAAAACAATGCCTACAAAACTTTATTTAAATGAAAGGACTGTTTGCAGAGAAATTTATTGAGTTATTTATTTTGATGAAGCTGAAGGCCACTGTCACATATTTCATTTCTAAATGTGGGCTGCAAGTTTACAGAATCCGACATAGCTTCTCCTGGTGGAAGCAAATAGCGATATTCTGGATTCGGTGTCTGTCTTTCAGAACAGAGCACGGGTCTACTGTCATTTATTGTGAACCCAACAAATTCTTTTTTAAAAGGAAAAGTAAAACCCATTCCTACTTGAGTATAACGTATTAAATCAGTATTAATGTGGGAAAAAAGATAGGTATAAATGTCATATTAGTCATAAATTTCTCTTTTCCAAGGAACCCATCTCAAAATCAAACCAGGTAATTGCTTGAATCACCCTTCTCATTTCAACACAGCGGAGCCAGTAGAGAAATTAGTCATTTGCATCAGGATTTAAAGGTGGGACATGAAAGTATATTCTATTAGTGTGTTTAGATATATTTTTTAAAAAATCAAGTCTTTTACTCAGTATGTTCACAGCAAAAGAGGTTGGGGGAAAACACATTCTCAAGTCTTTGGAGCATATAGAACTTGTGACTTTGAAAAATAAATTTGACATAAAGTAAATCTCAATTCTCTCCAAAATCTTCTTTCTAAAATACAAATACTTTATTCCCATGTTTGCACACTGTGATGGCTCGGGCGAGCGTGCCCCACATTATTGGAGATGTGTGCCCGGCTGAGGGCACTCCCATTTTCCTGTTCCCCAGCATCCTCTTTTCCAGGTACCTCAGGCTGGAGAAATATCAGCGTGTACTGAGCAGCTTAACACTGCCAGGCAGAAAGAGGGGCCTGGATTTAGTGGAGACTGGCTCTCCCAAGGAACGATAACACCATGTGTCAAATAAAAAAGCAAAGATAGTCTCCTGTACAAATCAGAAGAGGTAAGAAAACCCAAGGAATAGACAGCAACTTTTCCCATACCTACACACGCATCTCAAATGGCTGCAAACTTGAAGAATGATTCACCTTTTTCTTGTTTGGAATGCTTTGTAATTGATTTGCTGAACAAAGGTTTTAGGTTGCCTTAAAGCAAATTTTATGGTCTTGTCTTGTCGGGTGGGGGGTGTTTATTTGGGGGAGTTTTTCTAAGAATTGATATACTGCTAAGTAAAATATATCTGCTAACCAACAGCAATAAAATTCTGCTGAATTCTATCTAGCAAGCTTAAGAAAAAGTCACTGTAAATTAAATTTGTTCCTAGTTTTGCTAGGTGAGACGTGAGGACCCAATGCTGACACATGGTGTTTCTAGTCCTCTCCAGTGGCAGTGCGAGAGGGTAGGTAAGCACAGGACTCTGGGTCACTGATGCCCCAGGGCTCTACTCACTGAGAAAGGCAGGTGCCCGTGCAGGTATCTGAGAGTTGCTGTCTATTCACAAACCACTGAGCATTTCTGTTTATCAAAAAGCCTCCAAATGCTCAGTCTGTGGTCAGTGCAATCCCATGCATAAGTCTAGCAAGAGAACGCTTCACCCCTCAGAAACCTACACAGGTAAAAAGGGAGCAATCTTTATGACCATCTTCTCTAGCGAGCAGAGTTCTGGTTTTCTGTGTACAGTGGGTTTTGTGTTTACTGTGTTGGCAGTACATTTCAACTGGAGGTTCAGGGCTATGAGTACAAACTCTCCTGGCCGGTTCCATACATGTCTGCGAGCCGTTTAAAACGGGGCCCCCAGTCGCTTAAGTAGTCGTAATTCTGATCAGAGTTCGAGCTGATGGAATCCAAGGAGCTGAGGGACTCGGCTACTGAGCCACTGCCTTCAAAAGCATACGTCTGCAAGGAGTCGTAAGGCGGAGCACCGGGGTCCACATCAGCTTCCTTCAGTCTCTCCCAAATAAACTCCCTAAAGATGACATTATCTGGGATGCTCTTGAAAGTGGGTCGACTCAAGAACTGGATTTCCGGAGTCACGTCCCTCCTGGTCTTGGTGTCTCTCATGACATTGAGGTTCCGCAGCGCGGCCATGTCGAAGGCTTCCGTGTCTTCCTCTCCGCCCCCCTCGTCGTCATATCTGACGATGTTTTCTCTGATGTCTCTCTCTTCATCAAAAATGAGCGGCTCCTTTTTCCGTCTTCTCATGGTGACGATCAGGAGCACCAGCACTGAAACAGCAAAGAGAGAGAGTCAGCAAGCGCACAGCCCCACGCCCTCATCGTGGTGAAGGCCACCAGCCTGCTGAGTCCCGCTCTGCTCCCCAGGGACACAGCCTGGCCTGCCTTGCGCGAGGAGCCATGGCAGTGAGTGTGATGACATGCCTTTACAGTAGGCCGCGGTCAGCCTGTTCCACCCCTGTTCAGATGTTATGTTTCTTCACCACCCAAGTCTGGGCGAGAGCAAGCTGAAGGGGTGCGTTCAGAACAAATGTTACAATATTAAATCCAGGAAATAGGGAATTTTTTTTTTTTAACTCCTCGCTTAGGCAGAGTGACAGTTCATAAATATCTTGTCTCTAATTGAACATGTGCAGCAGCATCAGAAGGAATTTGACAGCAGCATTTGGTCAGGTGGTTTGGAGAAAAGCCTAGCCCTTGTCTCGGATCCCGAGTATTTCAGACCATATGCAAAGATGAAGACTTCTCTCCGATAGCCACTTCCCTGAGAACATCCACATTCTCAGGACAAAATACTGAGCCTTAGCTTTACACGTTATACCTAGAGAGAATACAGGTTGTGAGGTCAGCATTAGCTAATGCTAGATTGAGGAAATTAATCATCTCGTTAGCATTAAGAATTATTCTTCCTATAGCAAAACTGTTAAAAGGAAAGCCTGTGATCACAGTTGACTATTATTTTGGTTTGAACAAAATGAACATATGCTGATAATACTATGAGTAACTGATGCTAGCTGAACTGGAACATACAGTTTTATCTTTAAAATACCCTTGGAACATTTTTTTTTTTCTGGAAAGTCTAAAAGGTTCTAAATCTACACCATGTGTACTATTGTCCAGGGCCAATTACTCTCAGTATATTTAAAAAGAAGCCTGCAATACGTATGTTGAAGGATCACACAAGCTTTTATATTTGCATTAAGAAAGCACTGAAAACGAAAATACATGTAATGTGTGTTTTCCATTCATCTCTTTTTGAGGGTTTTCATCATAAATGGATGTTGAATCTTGTCAAAGACTTTCTCAGCATCTATTGACGCGATGAATCACACTGATTTTCAGATGCTCAACCTTCCTGGAAACCCCAGTCTGAATCCTACTTGGCCAGGAGTATGATCCTTTTAAAGCATGGCTAGATTTGGTTGCTAAGATCTTTATTGAGGTTTTTTTTTTTTTTTTTGCATCTGTGTTCACAAAGGAAATTTGTCTATAGTTTCTTTCTTGTGTATTCTGGCTGTGGGATAGTGGCCTCATAAATGTGTCTTCGAGTATTCCTTTACATCTCAATTTTCTCAGTTTGAGTAGGATAAGTTTTCACTTGTGAAGCCAATTTGGTAGTGGGTGTAACAATGGTGGTGATACCTGATTGGAAGGGACAGATGGTACCTCAATTAAAAAAAAAAAGACATATAAAACTGTTCCTAGTTTTAGTAAAACCATATCTACAGAATGCTCTATTCTGAATGTATAGCATGGATACTATATATTATACCCCTAGTATATTGAGGCCTATTCTCCTTTTTGCTCTTATTACACTTGAATGTTCTCAACTGGTTTCACTACAAGGGTAGACAGATAGTTCAGAAGCTAATATTTGTACATTGTCCCTTTCTCATTCTTTGCTTAGGGAACTAGATGTTATCCTTCTCTGCTATGTACATTTCCAATTCTTGCCCTCTGAGAATAGAGCATTTCCACCACTCAGGGGACTTGGACTTTCAAAATCCATGCCAGAATATTACCCACAAACAGCCCTCTCTGTTGTTAACATTCTGGCATGGACCTTGAAAACAGATACTAACTTTGGTATCAAGAGAGCTTTCCATAAAAGTATACCCTTCCCGCATACTAGCTGATATCTTATGCAGACAACTTAAACCACCCATCTGAACCCAGCTACATGTCTAACAGCCATCTCCGATGTCCACAGCGTGGACAAAGGAAGTTGGGAAATAATATAAGAGTAGTAGAGTGCCAGGTGCTTGGTGTGCAACCTCAAATTTTTCATTGTCTTCTCTATCCCGTCAAGAACATTAACTTCATAGACACAGCTAATGAAGACATTCTTTCTCCTCTGACCAAGGACAAACGAGGAAGATGGTTAGCTAATAAGTGAAGCGGAAGATATGTTGAATATGAGGCGAGACACATACACCCCAGGTCCCATGGAGAGAGGAGGTGAGGTGAGAATGGTCTACACACCGCATATTTTACCCTCCACCCCTCCAGCCATCCTGGGGAGAGGGCTTCTCACTAGAATCTTGCCTCAGTCACCTCAAACAACCTGGCCTGGTGCCCCTAATGGGATGCAGGCAGTCAGGGAGGTAAGTGCCCCTTTCACCCGCCTCCAGTCCCAGCTCTGACCTTCACAAATCGGGACATACTGATGAAGAGACAGCTGCAGGCGGGGGCAGCAGCAGGTGACATGAGGTCCCCTACACAGCCAGAGAGGCAGGATGGAGAGGGCGCCAGTACCCAGCCAGTGCCCGGTGACCGTATGGGCAGAGAGGGCATGAGGTTCAGAACAGGGTAACAGTTACATAGTAACGCATGGCACTTTAGAACTTTTCCCAAAACCTCACACTTCTCTTTCCTTGCTCTTCCCTTGACAGATTCCATCCTCTGTATGGAATACAGAACAGCCATTTCCTCTATTGGGACGTGTTTCATTGTGTTTGTAAAACACTGCAGTTCCTGGGGGTGCGTACACCGAGGTCCAGTGCTGTCGAGGCAAGCTCTACGAGTTTGATGCCCTTAACGTCCAGTCTTGCTTGGAACTGAGAAAATGAGAAGTGTTTTCGTAGCTCAAACAACATTTCAACAATGGGAGAGTATTAATTTTGGGATACTATCATAATAGTCCTCAGTATTAGGAGTGATAAGCTATATCCAAGAGGCAGTTTTAGTTTTGTTTTTGTTTTTGTTTTCTCTCTAATGTCCTTTCTGTCCTAAGGCATATACTACATGTGAGTTAAAAAAAAAAAAAAAGATTGAGGTCTAGTTTGACAGCTGTTATTTGTGCTGGCTTATGAATTTGCTTGATGCCTACAGCTAGTCATTATACATAAATATACATATATACGTGTATATATATATATGGTGTAAAATTTTTGTAAAAGTAGCAGACATCCTACATTTCCTTTTGAAACTTAAATGGGGCAAAGGTTGATGTGATTAGTGTTCTGTTGAAGAGAACATGATCTTTGACCGGTGTCTATTTGAAGCAGATGCCTGGAAGGAAGATGCAACTGAGGTACCCAAATGCTGAGCAGTAATGCTGAGCACAACCTGAGGCCAGGATGACTGAGAGATCAAGGACAGGCACGTTTAGAGAAACCCATGGTGTGATAGAAGGTGGAGAGCGCACCCAGACAACCGGGTAGGTCACACTCTATGCTGCACCTGCACAGGAAGTGTAGCACAAATCGTGAAGCAACTCACTGAACTTACTTTACATGAATCAGCACTGTTCTGGACTAGGTGCGTCTTTGCATCCAACTTTCAAAAATTGGAGAAAAGTATACAGGAGCAGCTTCACTGAGGTCTGACAGAGATTCCATGGTGTCTACTGACGCACCAGAGAGCACTTAGAGTCCCCTAGACAGCTTCCTGGAGGCCAATGCCTTCAGGCCCCAACAGTGACAAAACCCATCTGTCCACTGAGCCCAGCCAGGGCCCATCTTCCAAATGGTGGCACTTAACAGTCCTGATGTGCCTGACAGTGCACTGCCTGGCTGCTGTGTTCAACATCTCACTGGCATCTTCCATCCCCTCCTCTGGAATTGCTATGCTTGAAAATGCCACACATTTCATGCTGTATATTGGTACCGAGAACGATGCCCAGAAAGTGGCACAGTGCCACTGGGGTACAACAGGGACGAGGGCTGTGCCCCTTCATGTGCAGTTGGCACATTCCAAACTGAGTCTGGTTCCCAGAAGACCACTCAGTCACGTGAAGCACCATCTAGTCAGTTCTTTTCTTATCCTAACATTCCGTGAAAGGTTATTGTGTTAAGTAGAATTCCAAGACTTTGCACACCTACACCTGCTCATATCTTTGCCTTGAAGGTGGCCAGCAGAGGATGTCCTGTTTCACAAGAAGAACAACTGTCCTGGCCAGAGACTACACTAGAGAATCCCAGTGACTGGAAGGATCCAGGGGTCCCATGCACACATGTGGTAGAAGGTAGGTGGAGAGAACATGGGGAAGGGGAAGGAAGAGGGGGCACTGAAGATACAACCTTGACCCTATGTGGAACAACTGAAGTGTCCACATGGGCCGGGACCCCATCAAGCAGGACAGCGCTCTGTCCTACCTGTCCCCATCCAGCCTTCAGTGTCCGCATGTGGATGGTGAAGTGAATGGGACAGGCAAGGCCTTCCACTGACGGTCCCCAGCGTCGGCACTGTCTCGGCAGCATTGCAGACATGGCTTGACCCCACCCTCGAGGATAAGGCAAGAACAGGTGGCTTAAGACATTTTAGCTGAAGAGGATGGAGGCCCAGGGTCCCCACTCTGCAACTGGGCTGCCCACAGCAGTGCAGGAAGCTGGTGCTCACCTACTGGCCCAACCCATACCATCACCTGAAAAGGTGCAGAGAGTCAATCTATGAGGCAAAAGCCACCTAGAGATCTTGGATAAAAGAATTCACCATGAATCAATTTATCTAGGCAAGAAAAGGAAGCTCCCTACCAAGCCACATAAAAACTAACCATGAAGAGACTGGCGTTTTGCTTCTGTATTGCCCGTGTGTTGTTCTGAGTGAAGTCTCAGCCCAGCAGAACTGTGGAAATCGCCTAGTGAGTGTAAGGTAAGAGTTACAACTTTGCTTGTTAGATTTAGAAACACAGCAGTGATCAAAAGGAGGCAATCAGTAAGGAGAGAGAAAATAAGATGAGTCCTAATAGAATTAGTGGATTTAAAAACTGCAGTAGCTGTTCCAATATTAGAGAAATGCAAGTTTATGCAGAGAATCAGCAAAAAGCACAA